TTGTTTCTAATGTCTCTGTAAAGCACTTTGAATCACCTTGTTGTTGAATTGTGCTATACAAATAAACTTGCCTTGCCTTGCCTATATATTTAATGTAAGGCAAATTAAATTACATGACAATGACAAACAAACGCGCGCGCACACACACACAAAGAAAAAAGAAGCACAGCGCGAATGATCTCATAGCCAGTAACTTTTTGGATTACGCGTTATTAGTTTTTTCTTTTATTGCTTACTTTGTTAAGTTGTTTGGCTCCTTGGTAAAGAGATGAGGGCTACTTCAATACTTTTGCACATTACTTTACATGCGAGATCTTCAAACTTGCCTAACAGTTTCATAATTATAGATACTGACGGCTTTTATAGCAACTGGAAAAGCTTGTACAGCTCCTCAGGATCCTAATGTCAGACAAAGAGACGGTTCTTATATCCAGTGCTGTTTATGAATAAGTGTGTGTGCGTATCACAAATGTTTTCACAACTATTAGTAGTAGTATTGGTTTTTTTCATATGTGCATCTCATTAATTCCTAGTTTTTATTGTCTTGTACAGCACAGTGACTACATTTTGTGAAAATTTCTCTCTAGACTGTTCATAATAATATACAAATAAACTTGCATGTTTGCTTAACTGCTTCAGGGAATGCACCCAGCATTCATTGGTGCCCAGTATCCATTCTCAGTGGCCACTGGCCCCCAGCCATCAATGGCAGCCACGGCTGTCGCCTTCCCTGGTGTTCCTGTACCGTCCATGACTCAAATTGCTGTCCACCCCTACCACACTGAGGCTGGTCTGCCACTCAGCACCACTGTAGCAGGTCGGGACTACTTTGTGTTTAAGATCGGCAGTTGCTAATTCTTCTGAATTAAAACTTTTTTTTGCTGGTAATTGTTACATTGTTACATGGACGAGTTTGCATACAGTTGAGGTCAGAAGTTTACATACACTCATCAGAAGCATGAATGTCAAGGTTAATTTGGGACTTTTAATAATTTCTTTGAACCGCTCTTTTTTAGCTTGTCCGTGTGGACAGTTACAAATTCAGTCAGAGGGCCTCTTTCTTGCTTCCCCCTGTCTTGGTCCATGGCAATGTCTTCTTCTAGACCTTGGTGAAGCAACTGAATAACGTGTTTGAACTGATTATCTTAGAATCTGCAGTTGTTTAGAAATAGCTCCAAAGGACTTTCCTTGTTTAAATCCTTATTCTCTTTCTTAGTTTAACTGAGTTCTTTGGACTGTTCAGACTGATCCTTTTTATGGTAGAAAGTACCCATTGTAGTGAACTGCAATTGCAGAACCTTCAGTACCACGTATTAAACAACTTGACTATATGTATGTATGTATTTGAGCATACAGTGGGGCAAAAAAGTATTTAGTCAGCCACCGATTGTGCAAGTTCCCCCACCTAAAATGATGACAGAGGTCAGTAATTTGCACCAGAGGT